TGTTTTTTGTGTGTTTTTCCTCTTTTTTTTTTTATATTTATTTATTTATTTTGTGTGTGTGTGGCCAGCTCAGCCCACCAGGGGGCGGGGCTGGCTGGCTGGCATGTGGTGCTGGGGATTGAACCGTGGTCCCTGTGCTTTGTTTAGCTTAGCTTGTTCTAAGTAGGTGCTTTAGACCACTGAGCCATCTCACCAGCCCAGTCAGATAGTTTCTATCCTTTATCCTCATTGGGATTTTGGGAGGGTTATTTAGATCTAGTGTCATTTAGATTTGAGCTAATTTGTATAATTAGTGTTAATATTGTTTGCTTTTGTAATTTGTTTTTCTAAGAAGATATGCTTTTGTGTGTAATATAAGATAGTACTCTGGGATTCTAAAATCCATTACCTTTGGGTAAGCTTGTAGCACAGTGATGGAGCAATCACAAAGCATTCATGAGGCCCTGGGTTTGATGCCTCACACTGTTGAAAAAAAAATTGAAAAATTACTATCTTGGTAATGTCCACCCATATACGTGTGTGTGTGTGTGTGTGTGTGTGTGTGTAATATATACATCATACTGTGTATACCTGTGTGTATGTATTTATACTTACAGAATAAGTTTAAGTCAGTCGTCTTTCATAGAAAGACTAGCAGTATTTAAGGATGGGAAAGAAAAAAAGATTGCTCATATAAAGGCTAGCCTTTGTACAAGAGCCACAGATCTTAGAATTTTGTCCTTTTCATTTGGAATCTAATTCTTTACAATTGGTTGAAAAATCATATGAAGTGGTTTGGTTTTGTTTTGAGATAGAGTCTCACTACACAGTTCAGGCTGGCCTTGAGTTCAATTTGTAGCCAAGGTTGTTCTCAAACTCAGCAATCCTGCCTCAGCCTTCCAAGTGATGGGATTATAGGCGTGAGCCACCATGACTGGCTGTGATTGAAGATCATTCGGTTTCCCATTTGTCTTTCTAGAAGATTTTTTCATTTTACTTATTGTTCTGCTATTCAATGCCATATTTGAGCTTCTCACTAAAACTTTTATAGTGAAAATCTGTCAAAAATACAGAGTGAGCATGTATCAAAAACTAGTCCCTCCAGGTATAGTGGTTACATGCATGTAATCTGAGCACTCAGAAAACTGAGACATGAACTGGGAAGATAGCTCAATAGTCTAAAGTACCTGCCTAGGCAAGATTAGGCAGGTACAGGGGACCTCAGTTCAATCCCCAATACCACGTGCTGTGCCAGCCCTGCCCTCAGGGTGGGCTGAGCAGGCCAGGGGAAAAAAAAAAAGAAAGCTGAGGCACCAGGATCGCAAGTTCACACCATTCTGTTTTGAGACCCAGTCTCAAAATGAGACAAAACTAGTACTAAATCCTGCAACTATGTTTTATTATAATGTGTACTGTATTGATATGATATTTAATAACTGGTGGATGCTTATAATTGTTGTACTCATCCTTTGGTGTGTAACTAGGGCCAGGAATGTACCTCAGTGGCACAGCGCCTGCCTGGCAAGCAAGAGCAAGGTCCTGAGATCAATCCCCAGTAGCAGGGGGAATAAAAGTACTCTGTAGTTTGTAACTCTTAAAAGACAGTAATGTAGAGTTCATTGTACTTGTCCAACTCCTTGGGTCATTTGGTTCTTTGTTATATGTAATCATGAAAAGCTTACATAGGTATGAAGTATATACTACTAGGAGCAGATTTTTTTTTTTAAAGTAGTACACTTTGTTTATTCTATGATTTTATATATATGTATTGATATCACCACGCCCAGTGTCAAATCACATCTCAGTGTGCCCCCAGGGTGGGGCTGGCACAGCTTTGCTCTGCCTAAGCAGATGCTTCAGTCTGATGAGCTATCTGGCCGGCTCTACACTATTTCTAAGTAATATTCAAGCTTCTCTGGGGTTGAGAGATAGCTCAGTGGTCTAAGCCGCCTGCCTAGGCAAGGGCAAGGACCTGGGTTCAATCCACAGCATGTGGTGTGCTGGCCCCACCCTGGGCACACTGAGCCACCACCAAGACTGGGCATGGTGGTGCACTCCTGTAATCCTAGCACTGGGGAGGCTGAAAGCAGGAGAATCAATACGAGTCCGAGCTGCATAGTGAGACCCTGTTCCAAATGCATACAACTAAAAACAAACGTGTCTGGAATGATTAGTTATACTGTATTTATGGGATGTAAGAAGTCATGTCTTGGAATTCATCTCTATTAAAAATAAACCTCAGTTTCATTTGTAGGAAAAGAAACAGTGAAACAAATTATTATTTAAAATCCATTAGATGATAAAAATAGATAATATAATAACTGTTAATTAGCTATTCCTGTTTTGAAAATCTAGTATAACAGATGTATGTTGCCCTGTTTCTGTCTTTTTTTCTATTTGTATTTGCTTCTGTTTTTACTTTTCAAAATACAAGAAAATAGAAAAAGTTTAGCGTGTAATATTTAAGTGGCAGCAAACATTTCTGTTAATAAATGAAATATGACATAGATATTTTTCCTCAGGTGTAGAATGAGCCAAGGAGATTCGAACCCAGCAGCTATTCCACATGCAGCAGAGGATGTTCAAGGAGATGACAGATGGATGTCTCAGGTAAAAAGAAGTATATATTCATGTGGGATGTGTCTTTTCATTTTTTAAAAGACCTTTTATCAGAACTAGAAGGGACAGTTTTAGTAGTCAATAAATATTTATTGCTGTACATATAAATTTAAAAAATCAAACTCAATTACCATTCTGGAGCTGAGGAATATTTTGATATCATGGTAATTGTCCTTCTGTTAATCTTTAAAAATAGCAATGTCAGGGATGGGGAGACAGCTCAGTGGCATAAGCGCCTGCCTGATATGCACAAGGTCCAGAGTTCAGTTCCCACTACCACACATACAAAAAGGAAAGAATGAATGAATAAATAAATAAAATTAGCAGTGTCTTTGTAGTTTTTGTTGTTGTTGGGTTGGGGGTGAGGCAGTTTTTTTTTTTTTTTTTTCATTAAAGAATAGGAAAATTTGGACCAGGGAGATAACTCAGCAGCATAAGCACCTGACTGGCAAGTGAAAGGTCCTGAGTTCAATTCCTAGTGTCTAAAATAAAGTAATATAACATAGCGTAATGTAATGTAACATAAGAAAATTTACCGGAGAATAGGGTTAATAGATAGGTCCTGAGAGACAGGAGGGGTCCTGAATGGGTTGCCCTTCTTTTTGGTTTTTGAAACAGGGTTTCACTATGTAGTGTAGTCTGGCTTTGAACTGTGTAGCCCAGGTTGGCTTTGAACTCACTGCGCTCCTTAACCCTCAGCCTCCTGAGTGCTGGGATTTCAAGAATGCAGCACCACATCCGGCATACTTTTTTATAAATAAATTTCCAAATTACACAACTGTTAGAATATTTTAGAATCCCCTAGACTCTTCACCACTAGATTCTTCTCCTAGACACACCAGTTATTAACATTTGCCTCATCTGAGCCATCTGAGGGTACACTGGATGCATCATCGTGTGTGTGTGTGTGTGTGTGTGTGTGTGTGTGTGTGTGAGGTAGGATCTCACTGTGTAGTTCAGGCTGGCCTTGAGCTCACTGTGCGCCCCAGGATGGGCTCAAACATGGGCTGATCCTCCTGCCTCCGCCAGTGCTGGTATTACAGGCATGTGCCACCATGCCTAGCTCGTGTCATTCTTTATCTTTCCTTAGAGAGTACAGCATGTTTTCTAGGAGCAAAGACTTCTCACATAATTAAAAGATGGCTATTAAAGTCAGGATATAGCTAGCAGCACAGTGCCTGCCTGGCCCACACAAGGTCCTGAGTTCAATTCCCAGTACCAAAAAAAAAAAGGTCAGGAAATTTAGCATTATATAATTACTTACCTACCTACCAGTCCAATTATTTAAATACAGGATGACCAAGTATTGATTTGTTTAATTAATATTTATTATATCAGGAAATATAAAAACTAATTTTATCAGATTTATTCAGTACAAGAATTGGCTGGTTGGCCAGGAGTGGAGGCACATGGCTGTAATCCTAGCACTAGGGAGGCTGAGGCAGGAGAATTGTTCCAGTTTTAAGGCCGGTCTGAGCTGCATAGTTCAGAACCAGTCTAAACTATATATTGAGACCCTATCACAGAAAAGAAACAAAATGAAATTGATTGGTTAAAATGACATCTGCTCTATTATCTTAGCAGTGCTGGGATAATCAGCATGTAAACAGGTGTCCTGCCCAAGTGATGCTCAGAGTAAATGCTTAAATAGTTAATCAAAAAACTCCTGTAGGGCCGGCCAGATAGCTCAGCGGACTAAAGCACCTGCTTAGGCAGAGCACAGCAGCTGGGGTTCGATCTGGGGTTTGAGGATTTTGATCCCTGGTGTGCCGTGTTGCCCCCCCCCCATACCCTGAGACCAATTGAGACAGGGCATGGTGGCACAAGCCTGTAATCCCAGCACTTGGAAGCTGAAAACAGGAAAAAAACTATGTCCGGATGTGCATAGTGAGACCCTGTAGACCCTGTATTAAAAGACATTAAAAAAAAAAAAAACAAAACTGTGATCCCAGCAGCACTTGGGAGACTGAGGGAGAAGGAGGACTGCTGTTCCAGTCCAGTCTGGGCTACAGAGTGAGTTTAGGGTAAGCCTGAGCTCTACAGCGAGACCCTGTCTCACAAGGGGGAAAAAAAAATCAGAAAACATCTTCTATATTTATATTGTCCCAGTAAATTTTTTTAAATTGTATTTGGCACAGAGTCTCACTATACAGCTGGAACTCGTAGTGATCCTCCTGTTTTCAGCCTCCCCAGTGCTGGGATTGAGGTATGTGCCACCACACCTAATCTCAATAATTGACTCAGGGCACCTGGAGGCAGGGACCGCATGGTGTCCCGGTAATTTTTTTTTTTTTTTTAATGTATTTGGTTGTTGCAGGGTCTCACTACATAGCTCAGACTCATGGTGATCCTCTTGCTTTCAGCCTCTCCAGTGCTGGGATTACAGGTGTGTACCATAAAGCCCAGACTGGCCTGCTTAGCCTGCCCTGGGAGCCTGGGAGTGGAGCTCAAACAGCTGAGCTATCTTGCCATCCCTCCCAGTAATATTCTTTAGTTGATCTTTTTGGTTGTTTTTTTTGTGTGTGTGGAACCGGGGATTGAACTCAGGCCCTTGCGTTTGCCAGGGAAGCGCTTATTCTACTGAGCCATCTCCCCAGCCCCTAGTTGATCTTCTTAATCCAGGATTACACATTACATTCTCTTTATTCTCCTTTGAAACAGTTTTTTGTTTTTGTTTTAATGGCCTTGACAGTTTAGAAGAGTACAAGACTTTTTATTTTTGAGGAGAGTTTGTTTTGAGACAGGTCTCACTGCATAGTTCATGCTGGCCTTGAGCTCACTTCCTTTCCAGGTTTTTTGGAGACAGGGTCCCATTGTACAGTTGAGGCTGGCCTTGACCTCACTTTGTAGCCCACTCACAACAATCTTCCTGTCTCAGCCTCCTGAGTGCTGGGATTACAGGTGTACACTTCCCATGTCTGGCTATAAATGCTGTTCTCCAATGAAAAGATCCAGGAGTCCAGGCCCAGGAGACAGGTCGGTGGCCTAAGTGCCTGCCTGGCAAGGGCAGGGACCCAGGTTTGGTCGCTGATGCTGCATGCTCTGCTGGCCCTGGAACCTGCAGCTCGCCTGTAATCCAAGCGCTGGAGGTGAGACAGGAGGATCACTAGCGTCTGAATTGCTTATGAGACTGAATCAAAAAACAAAAAGCTAAAAAAAAAAAGCTAAATAAATGGAAATATTAGAACACTCCCAGAATAGAAGAGACTAAATACAACATGGTGTCTCGAATTGATTCTGAACAGGAAAAGAGCATTAGTAAAAAGAATTAGCAAGAGTTAAGGGATAAATTCTGTTTAGTTGATACTATTTACTAATGATCATTTTTTAAGTTTTAATAGATGCAGCATTTTTTTTCCTTTGGCCTTTTTGAGATAGGGTTTTGCTGTGTAGTGCAGGCTGGCCTTGAACTCACAGTGATCTTCCTGCCTCAGCCTATGGAGTGCTGGGATGATAGGCATACATCACTGTACCTGGCACACACCATAGTTATGAAATATGTTAACATTAGAGCAAGTATAGTATATGGGAGTATTTCTTTTGTCTTTTTTTTTTTTTTTTTTGGTTATCTGGAATCAAACTCAGGACCTTACACTTGCCAGGCAGGTACTTGTGCTGCTAAGCTATATCCCCAGTACTGGGAATACTCTGAAATTCTGCAACTCCTCTCTCTCTCTCTCTCTCTCTCTCTCTCTCTCTCTCTAAGCAGAACTGGGGTTTGAACTCAGGCCCTGAGATTTTTTTTTTTATTAATTTTTTAAATGTATTTAGGACAGGGTCTATAAGATCTCACTACTAGTGCAACTCTTCTCTATGCCTCAGATTATTTCAAAGTAAAGTATTTCCTTTAATGTAAAATAATCATCCCTGGCCTGCCTTGCTGCCCATCCCTGAGGCTCAGATGGCAATTGAGCCTGGGCGTGGTAGCACACGCCTGTAATCCCAGCTGTTGGGAGGCTATAAACAGGCAGATCACTATGAGTCCACTCTAGTAGTGAGACCCTAAACACCCTGTAGACCCATCCCAAAATACAAAAATAAATACATAAATGAATAAATAAATAAAATAATCATGATTAACTATTGAAATGTTGCTCAGTACTACCTGGGAAGTACTGGGTAGTTTTTCTTCCATATCCATAGTGCCCCAGAACCCTGCCTATGAAGTCAAAATCCACAAATAAGCAAAGTTGTTCTTTTTTTTTTTTGAGGCAGGCGTTTTTCTATGATGTTCAAACGGGCTAAACTTACTCTGTAATCCAGATTGACCTGAAACTCATGGTAATCCAAATGCTGGATTTGTAGGCATGTGCTACCATGCCTGGTTCTCAGATATTTTCAATTTGTAGTTGACTAAATCTGTGGATGCAGAATTGAGGTTACAGGAGGACAGTATTGCCACTATATGCAGCCCTAAACTAGATGTAACTACCATTTTTCAGGAAATATATGGGTCAAATGAACATGCCCACTACAGGAATGCAATCAGCAAAATTTAGATTGTGACAGGTTCTACATATGTGTCAGATAATTTTTTCCTCCCTTTTTGTTTAACACGTTTGTGATACGTAATAGAGCAATCTAAGTATAATCATTATGGGGAGTTAGTATGCCTACATATTGCATCTTGATGCTTTTCATTTCAGGGTCAGATAATTGTTATGTTTTTCAGAAAATTTAGGAGGTGGTAACCTAGGGAAAACCTGTAGATTAAGGAATTTAAAACTGGACCTGGTGGTGCATGACTGTATCCCAGAGGCTGAGCAGAAGACTCACCCTGAGTTCAAGGCTATGCTGGCTACGTAGTGCATTCCATACGAGCCTTTAGCAAGACCTTGTTTAAAACAAAGAATGGGGCAGGGGACATAGCTCAGCATGGTCCTGAGTTCAGTTCCCATTATCAAAAATAAATAAATTAAAAAAATCCAAGGTAGCAAAGGGGTTAGGGATGTAGCTCAGGGGTGAAGGACTTGATTAAGCTGAGGCCCTGG